AGTCCCGGCACACGGGTCACGATCCCTGTCTTCCTGATGCTTGAAGTCCCAAGCCTGACGGACGTGCTTTACAGTTGCTTTACAGGTTAAAGATGTTGCCATCTGTGAGGCTCTTGGTGCCCTTGGGGTGCTCATTTCCTTCATAGCAATTTCCTTGAAACCGGGTGCCTCGTAGCCAAGTGCACCGAGGTGATAGAAAAACATCGTCGAGGCCTCCAGTCCATGCATGTACGCAACTGCAAGCTGCATCTCTCATGCACTTGCCACTGTCAAATCCAGTCTCGGGCAGCAGAATCTTGAGCTTGCACGATTGCATCGAGCGCCTCAACAAACGGAACAGCGATTGACGGCATAATTTGCATATGCCGGTCGAGAACTATACCACTACAATTATGAGACCTCACATTCGTCAGCTCCATTCGGATCATGATATCAACTTCGCCTTGGCCCTTCAACTTGCTGGGCCTTTAGGGAACGTTTATGGCCTCAAGGGACGAGTATTTGTACGCCAGTCTCAATCCGCAAGTAGGGAAATGTCATCACACGAGCATACACCCAAACAATCCAGGAGCGCAGACATCCTAGTTCACCACAAGAACGATGGTTCGTGCATGGTCAAGGCATCCCTTGGGACATGGCAAGCTGCTTCTTTTCGAAAGCGAAAGGGTAGGTGAAAAACTGAGGCCCTTCCCTTGCGGGCATACATGAGGCACCGGAAGAACCAGGCATTGAAGAGATGAGGGTGAATGAATTTTGCTTCGGAGGGGAAACGAGGTCGAAGCCACGCTATCGTTGTGAGGATGATGTGACCTCTGCTTTCTCTTCAACTCGCCGCCCTGCCATCCCAAACAACTCCTCCCCTTCTCATGCAATTGCAGAAAAGGCTGCTTGGTTTCTGGCAAGTGTCACGATGATCGCACCGTCGCTCCCAAGAAGAACCAACCGGCTCTGTGCAAAAAAATAGCGGTTTATGCTGGTGTCACTCCGAAGGAGCCAACGGCCCTTTTGGCAGAAGATGATAGGTTATACCCAGGCTCAACAAAACTATGACTGGCCCTGCACCATTTACTCTCAAAAAATGAAATGAAGCGGACATCTCTGGCCGCAACATCACGTGTCTGCAATTCAAGTGTGGACACCAGTAAGCACACTCAAAACATCTCACGCCATGTTACAAGGATAGGTTGAGGTTGGCCAACACATTCCGACGCAATAACTATGAAGTCACAACAGTAGGCACAACAAAAAAGGATGATTCCACCTGTCACCAGTTCGCAAGGCAGCTAGAGCACGGATTTGCGCTGTCGTACATGCGTCATCACGATTCGTGTGCAACTCTGCATTCACTGACGCTGGTGCCCTGCGGCAGTACCAACGACCACATACCATTGCAGGTGTGTCTTGCAACCATGGCAACCAGCAGTGCTAGCTTTTTCTTTGCTTTGGTATTACCCACACCACCGCTCACTGGAAAGAGATCAGTCACCCAAATGACACAACGCCACCCTCCAGAAGTCATCTTCTGCCACAGTATGCCCTCAGTATGCCATAGCATGCCATGGGCTTCTGGCTGTGCTTGCGTTCTCGGGCGAGGGGATCGCCGCATCGTAGTCCACAGCTGCCTTACTCTGCCCACAGCTGACACTTCCCAAACAACAGGCTGACCTAAGCAAAGCAGATCTCTGTGCTTGATCGTGACTCCCAGCTCTGAGGCAAAGACCTGACAGAAGTGCAAGTACTTCTGGACGACACCCGCGTCAGAGCACTGCCACACCTCGGCTCAAGGAAGCAGAGGCGCCGCCGCACTCAGAAACATGAAGCCATCATGATGACCCCTTTTAAGGTGTGCGATTTCGGGTCACCCAATGCAGAGCTCAAAGGCCCCTTGCGCCAGTTCTCATGTTGAAACAAATTTAGACCCTTGAAGAACCACATACATGCAATGCGGAGCAAACAGAGAAACGAGCCAACGTGCAGGTCCTAAACATGCACTGAAGAAGTTGAATGCCCCACAACCGACTGCCATCCGCCACCAACCCGGCCCACCTTCTCCGCACCAGCAGTCCCACGGAACATGAAAGTGTCAGGTCACAAGACAGCCCCGCCCCCGCCCCCAGCCCACGAGTGAAAGAAGTGAATCAAAAAGAAGACCGCAATTCTAATATTATTAAGTGAGGCTAGTCAGCCAGTACACTAGCAGAAGTCATGAGACATAGTACGTGTTACAGCTTACATGTCCTCTCTTTCTTTCATGTTAGCCATTGAAGATTTTCAGTGCTGTTCTGGATCTTCTTCGGAAATCTGGGTCTAGAAGGGTTGGGGCGGGGGGGGGGGGTTATTGCATTACCTCAACCCCAACCCACACCGTGCAAGCCCAACAACCTCAACCCCCAACCCACACCGTGCAAGGGTCTGCCGTCTTTGCCCCAACCCGAAACAACGCAAGCAACAAAAAACAAATGCCCGAAGTCTTGTGCTCAGTAAAGCCCGAAACTGACAAAGTGCAAGCACCGAAAACCCAAATGCCAAGAAGCAACGCCCGGAAACAAAGAAACCCCAAAAGAAGAAACCATTCGAATCATTCGAAATACATTCTCAAGGCCCAGAGCCCGACAGTGCTCATCCGAAAGATCCTGCCCCAAAAGCCTGCAACCCCACGCAGTGCAAGGCCAGACATGTTGCATGTTGTGCCCTCAAAGCACAGCTTGCGTCCCCTAAAGGTGCAAAACACTCACGCGCAGAAACCTCGAGAAAACGCGCGTTATTGAAGAAAACTGTCCAATTTCTACATATAGAAAGCATGCTACAAAACGAGCACATTACCTGGAGGAACTCGCGTTTCCAGGAAAACAACTTGCGGTTTCAGGGGCTACGAGATATATCATCTGTACAAACCAACAGCGCAGCTACTAAGCTACTAAGAAACCAAATGATAGGTAAAAAGAAACCGTTGGAAAACTAGTTGATAATACTTACCACGCTTGTTCTGACGTTCGTTGTGTTATCCTCTGAACGGGCAATAACCGCAGTAAATCCTCATCATGGTTCTGGGATCCCGGTGTACACTCTTCTGAATTGGATTTATCGTGTCAAGCGAGTTCTCGAAAGCTTTAAGGAACCGCTGACCAATTTGGCAACCGTTGGTTGGCGCCAATCGAACCTGGGGCTGGAACCTTATCAAAAAAACGCCTTTGCCGCAAAGTAACAGAGTTCAAGACTCCAAGGGTTCATATGAGTCTCATGTTGGTGATGATGGGAGCCTGGTGACGCAAAGTCACGAGTGCAACAAACCATTACAGCCTTTAGGGTTTAGGGTTTAAGGTTTATCGTTTCCAGATCAATGGATCGTGTCACCTCTTTTGTCTTGCTCGTTGGTCATCCACGGGCTCATGAAGAACTAGGATTTCATTATTTCACTAGACCCTGCGCAAAAGCCCAGAGTGAATTCACCCACTCGTTTACGCGAGCTCGCAGAAGCATTGCAGAATCACAAGCACAAAGGCGCTCTAGCGCACTGCCTTCTTTTCTTACGGCCGTAAAATTGTGAGGTTCCAGCTAAGCGTCAGTCGCAATGTTCTCTCAAGCAGTACAAGCGTGTTGCCAACTCAAGCTACCTCTTCTCATGCGGATTTAAGTCTAGGGACGCTTCTGAGAAAAGCCCATGATCTTCGGGACTGGAGCTGATATCTTTCTCACTGTCACTTCAACTTCCGTGTGCACATCCCATGCACTGAACAGGCAAGACGAAACCACTTAAGCAAGAAAAATCCCCAAAAACCAGCACAGCCCACACCATGTAAAATCACTAGATCCAGCTGGGCCCCTCGGATAGATAGCGTTGATTGAAAAACAACTGAGTTGCTTGCGAGGTTTCCTAGCCGTGGCAAGTCATTCAGGCCGGGCGTCAGCGGATTGACACACCTGGCCATCAAGACAGGTGATGCCTAGTACCCTTCCAGTAGACAGTGCAAAAGGCAGGGTTGCGTTCATGTTGTGTGCGTTTGGATGTGCCAATGCTAATTGCAACTCTTCACAAAGAGCTAGCTTATTGCGGGCGGAGCATTGGCTAGAAGTGGATTCTTTCAACCATGGTTTGCAAATCCAGAAACTTTGCTAGTGACGTTCTTTCTCTCTTGGCAACCGGCTTACATTCCGAGGCTCTTATGGACAGACAGTGAGATCAAAACTCTCCTTCGGGACACCAGCCGAGATTTCCCACCTGTTCTTGATACAGATCGGATTGTTGGTGTAGATCTCTTCACCTTGGATCAACATACCGCAGACAGGCAAGGTCACCTGCATTGTCACACAGAGGCTCCCTGGAATTACAGACACAGAGAGAGACAGGAAGCCCGCCAACATGAGCTCAGCAGCCTTCCTTTCTGGAATCCAAATTCACCTACCACACACGACGGGGTTCAACAGTTCGCTTGGGCACAAGTAGTCCGTGTTTCTTCCGAGCAAGAACAGAGAGACATAGCTAAGACATGCCAGGAGCCTGTGTGCTGCTGGTCGTGATGGCAAGCAGCAACAGATGTTCGAAACGAATGAAGTTCATGGCACCTAAGTTACAAGGTTTGTCACGCACACATTCAAGGTGCCTTCGATTTTGCACTGGGCAGACAAGGGACCTGTCGATTTCCAGGAAATTCAGAGAAAGTTCACCTCACAGTCGTTCGAGTGTCGCAGTGACTTTACGCATGATCTAGATCGTTTCCAACTGCACCAGGGCGCTATCTGGAGTGGCACGAGGCTGGCTGCCTCCATTTATGGAGAGAGGTCTACCCCCATAACGAGCCACCAAGGGCTGCCGGAACGAGCATCGGGAACATGCAACCGCGGCAAGCTTCTGGGAGGTATTGGGAGGTCATAGCTCCATTACTGCCAACGGAGCCGGGAAGTCATTCCCAAACTGTCGCGGCTAATCAGTGGAGGCAGACATGATGCCTATGCACTCGCAAAGTCGGGATCATGATACTCTTCAGTGCAGTCCCCTGGTCCTTTCCGGCCTTTCCTTTGCCGTCGCTACCCTGAGAGGATGACGATCCAGAGCCATGAACTTTGGTTGCAAGACCCCGCTATGCAATGACACGCCAAGGCAGCTGTCTTAGAAGGTAGGACAAGCAGGCACAGCATCTGAAAACACCCTGAAAGTGCTTGAAAGCACGATGCCTTCTTGCCCTTGCCAGTTTCAAGGGCCTGGAGAGCCAACACTGCATGGACTGACCGCGACTGACTCCACCGAATTAGGTTTTCATTCTGCAAAGGGGGCCTTGCCACCCTTGCCCTTGTCGTGGGAGTCTTTGCCACCTGTGGCATTTGGTCACCCTAACCAAGCGAAGGAGCGCTGCTGCTGAGCCGGAAAACGTCTGCCTTTGCCTTTGGCACCTTTCTCCTCATAGCCCTTTCCGGCTTTGCTGCCTTTGCCTCAGGAAGGGGCATCCCTGAACCAAAGGACCTTTCTTGAGATTGCTCACGCCATCTCTACGTCTTGCCTTTCTCGTGGCTCTTGCCATAGCCTGCAAGCCAATGCTTACTGAGAGCTTTGGCACAAGAGCACCAAGAGAATATGCACAGTGTGCCAATGAATTGGACAATCGCACTGCCCAGAAGCCTTTATCATAGCCGTAACCTTTCTCGTAGCCCTTATCCTTGGGGCACATCCACAAAATTCCACAAACGACAAGCTCACCACAGCACCACAGGTAGCACGTCCCTTAAAGCATTTCAAAATGACACGGAATCCAAGATCGAAACGTAGCTCTTCTCGTATCCCTTGTCGTAGCCCTTGTCCCAGCCCTTGCCTGCCGAATCTGTGGCAATTTCCGAACCCAAGAGAAACATCATGAAACATCAGTTCCAGGACATGCACAGCCTGCACAGCATGAGCACAGCATGATCAGGATCCCTTGCCTGTGGAGGCGCCTTTGTCACCCTTGCCCCAACTCTGTTGAACGGCACCATACCTGTCGGATCATGTGTTATTTGCTCTGAAAAGCAACAACTTTTCTGGCTTTGCACTGTCATTGCGCTGGCTTTTCAGTGGCGCTGCAGCGCACCAGTTGCTCTCGGCAGGTCGGGATTTTGCACCTTTTGAAGGGGCACCCCAGCCTCAAAAGCAGCTCGCAATGAGTGGTTGAACTGAAGATCTGCTCACATCTGCTCAGCCCGTGCACCAAACTAAAAACAGACTCCGTCGAAGAACAAAGCTGTCAACTGTTGAAACCCTACGGGTTGCAGCCACTGCAAGTAAGTCTTTGGCCACCGCTGCTCTCACCATATCCATAGGAGCCTTTGCTGGCAGCCTCTCCGGGACTTGTCCGTATGTTGGCTTTGAAACATGCCAAAAAGCCCGAAGGCTACCTGGCTACCTGCCTTGCCAAGCGCCTCCATAGGTCCAGGGCCACTAGCGGGCTTTTTCATGGACCTCTTTTCAAGATGAGTTTAATCGCCCACACGCGCCCATCAGCAAGGCTGAGCTGCCCAGCATAATGGCTGGATCATTCAAATGAGGCGACGCCCCTCCGGCACCGCCTTGCCAATGAACTTCACAGAACAAGGTTCAATGACCGACTATGATTCACCATCCGAGGTTCAGGCTGCCTTCCAACACGGTCAGGTCCTTGATGTCCTGAATCAAACCCCCCGCAGCACACAGGAAAAAACCGCAAGCAAACCTGAGCGAATACATGTCTTCGCAAGCCACCGGGGAAAGAAAAGGGAGTCCACTTGTGATAGAGAAAAAGAATGCCCACACTCGACTGCAGTCCTGCCCGCGAAAGATGATGAAGTCATAGATCTCGCTAGAGGGAGGGATCTCCGGCACCTGGCTAAATATTTAACAAGCGCATACACCCATGTGCAAATTCAATGATGTTCCAAAATCCAATCGCGTGACATAGTTGACAGCATCATGTTCACGCGCCTTCCTGCCTTCGGTGCCAAAAGATCGCACCGACCTAACGCAAGGTTCGATCAAGGTGGCGCAATCAGCCAGAAGTTTCAGCAGCAACCGAAACGCACTTCAACTTGGGAAGGGTCTGAAGGGCAATTGTGGACTCCTGTGTGTTGATGGTGTACAGGATGCCCTGGAAGTCATATGAAGTCATTAAACATTCATGGCATTCATGGTGCAAACTGTGGAGACTTGCGAGTCACCGCAACTGCCTCGTACCGGATGTTGGAGTTCGAGATCAAGCTGATCTTGCTTCCAATGTACCTCGCAACGACACGATACAGAACCGGACATTCGGTCTAGTGAGTGCACTCCTTCGTGCTTTCGCGTTCCCGAATGTTTCCGAATGCTTACATCCTTACAACCAACTGAGCATTGATGGAGCACGGAATTGTGCTGCTTGCCATGGCGCCGTCAATACCTGCACTCCTGCAGCACACACCGAATGCAAAACAAAACTTGTTGCGAACGCATGCAATTTACAAGTCCTTGAGTGGGGGCGTAACGAGGCCCCGCCCCCCTCTTCCGAACAGCAGCTACAGAGCCGAATGCCACGACGTAAAGCGGACGGAGTTTTTGCGTCAGTCACAGGAGTAACACATGCAAACCGAGGTGCCACTCGCAATCTTCGTTACAAGACGTTGCAAAATCTAGGATGTTGTCGGGATGTGAAATAGGGATGCACAACTTTATTGTTTCAATTCCAAAAACTCCAAGTTTGTTGTCTCGACTCTACTGCTCCAATGTTTGCTGTCTTAGACCTCTGTTGGTATTGTGTCTCGACTTACAGAGTCCGGCTTTGTTTGACTCAGCGATTGTTCAGCTTACTTGTGTTTTCCAACATAAGGCCAACATAAGGCCTTTTTGCGACCGATACCCTACCGATACCTGGACCGATGCCGGCCTGACCGCAAGCTTTGAAAAAAGGAGCCCGTCGGGATCTGAAAAAACATGGGCTTCACACCTGGAACTTCAACTATGTTAAAACTGCGAAGCCCGCAATTCCCGGACCCCCAACGATCCCTTGCGTTCAACGCCTACTGGGTCGCGGGGTATCGGGAAACAAAAGAAACTGAAGAACCTGAGCGTTTAGACCAGGGAGAAAGACTTGGAACCTCTGACTTGGGACAGCGAATCTGGAGCGTTAGATGTGGGACAAAAATCTTGAGCAGTGGAACTGGGGCCTGGCATTGGGAGCCTTAGACACCCGCAGAAGCACAATCTGGCGGCGTAGAAGTGAGACACAAACGTGCATCCCCAGACCCGGGGCAAAGAATCTGGAGCTTCACAGCCTTCAGTTAAGACTGGAAAAAGGAGCGCGAGGACAAATGAGGGGGAAACTCAAAGAGAAAGAAAACAAGAACAAGAGAAAGAGACAGAGCGAGGGAGCAGAAAAACAATAGAAATAAACATGCCTACATGACATGTGACCTCCCCCGCATTCCCAGCAAAAGAAGAAATGAACTGTTTCAGGTTTTATGACGTGAGTGTTTAAAAGTTAAAAGCGACGTGGAGGTTTGAGTTTCCGCTAATTTCGTGCTTGTTTCCTTGCCTTCACATTTGATTTTCCACCTTTTCCAGATTCCAACATAGACAGTTTGGAGACAAACACATACTTACGCCGAACATCCACACACCAAAGCGCTCAAGAAAAAACACAAAGCAACAATATACAGTCATATGCCTGCACACTAATTAAACCCTAAACTTGCCCTAAACCAAACCCACCCCCCTCCGGCCGTCAAGAGTCTAGAGTCTGACTCTTTACCAGCCTCCCTCGGCTGTCTTCCGGGGACATTCTGGACTGCGATTGCGCCAAAAGGTGTTTCGAGGAGCGTTGCACGTTACTGAGCGCGAGCGTTACGGATAAGCAGCGAATTGTGCCTCGCACCGGTACCGGTGCAATGGCGCTGTTTGTGGCCTTCACAATGCACCATGCATGCTGAACATGCAGTGATCAAGCTGTCTGCGCTTGGAAGAACAGCATTGTCATGCACAGATGTTACGACCTTACGACGTGCAGCTTCGACAGATGATCTCCACAAATCATACAATGCATATCCAAGAGCATTGCACATGCCCAGGCAACGCCGCAATGCTTACTACTACTAATTACTACTACTACTGCTACTACTACTACTACTACTACTACTACTACTACTACTACTACTACTACTACTACTACTACTACTACTACTACTACTACTACTACTACTACTACTACTACTACTACT